ACAACAACAACAACAACAACAACAACAAACAACAACAACAACAACAAGAACAACAAGAACAACAAGAACAACAAGAACAACAACAACAACAACAACAACAACAACAACAACAACAAGAACAACAACAACAACAACAACAACAACAACAACAACAACAACAACAACAACAACAACAACAACAACAACAACAACAACAACAACAACAACAAGAACAACAACAACAACAACAACAACAACAACAACAACAACAACAACAACAACAACAACAACAACAACAACAACAACAACAACAACAACAACAACAACAACAACAACAACAACAACAACAACAACAACAACAACAACAACAACAACAACAACAACAACAACAACAACAACAACAACAACAACAACAACAACAACAACAACAACAACAACAACAACAACAACAACAACAACAACAACAAGAACAACAACAACAACAACAACAAGAACAACAAACAACAACAACAACAACAACAACAACAACAACAACAACAACAACAACAACAACAACAACAACAACAACAACAACAACAAGAACAACAACAACAACAACAACAACAACAACAACAACAACAACAACAACAACAACAACAACAACAACAACAACAACAACAACAACAACAACAACAACAACAACAACAACAACAACAACAACAACAACAACAACAACAACAACAACAACAACAACAACAACAACAACAACAACAACAACAACAACAACAACAACAACAGCAACAGCAACAGCAACAGCAACAGCAACAGCAACAGCAACAGCAACAGCAACAACAACAAACAAACAACAACAACAACAACAACAACAGCAACAGCAACAGCAACAGCAACAGCAACAGCAACAGCAACAGCAACAGCAACAGCAACAACAACAACAACAACAACAGCAACAGCAACAGCAACAGCAACAGCAACAGCAACAGCAACAGCAACAGCAACAGCAACAGCAACAGCAACAGCAACAGCAACAGCAACAGCAACAAGAACAAGAACAAGAACAACAACACACTATGCAGAAGCCTGACGAACAAGCGTCAAACCAACACAGCAGCAGCTGTACAGATTCTTCTCAGCTGGTCTTTGTCGGCCACGCTTGAGGAGTCCAAAATCCAGAGCACCCCACAATCCGCCATGACCCCAAAGACCAGGGTTGGGAGCTTAGCAAGTCTGATACAGGCCAAATCAAGATGAGGCGAAGTAAGGTGAATGCATTCAAGGGCCCTTCTGGTGTCCCTTTCAACTTAAAGAAACATAGAATATCAAGTTGTCAAAACCCAAATTTGTTCGATGCCCAAACCATTATGGAAAGTTCATGGTTCAACTCAACTTCCGATTGTTACCTGTGGAAAAGTAACCCCGAAGGCAACCCTTTCTTGGGATGACCGATTTAGTATGCACGTCGCAAGCAATTGACGCAGCGTTTGTTGGGCTGCAAAACCATCAAAGTAGGGAACAGCGGGCAATGCGCATAGTGCCTGGCAGGCATGTGCGCAGTGCTGAGCGGGCGCTCATGAGCGGGTGTGCCAATCGTTGGGCAAGCATGAATGCAATGAACCGCAGCTCAGTGCTGTGTGCAGTGCCGAGGGAGTGCGCTGAGGGGGTGACGATGGGTGCTTAGCATTTGGTCGGCACGTGTGCAGAGCGGATGCCCTTCGCGGGACGGGTGCTTGTCGTGCAGCAGGCGTACATGCAGTGCTGAGCCTGTGGTATTGAACGGGCGTGTTAATCTTTCGGCGGGCATGTGCGTACTAAGCGGCTCGCCCTGCAAAGAAGAAAGCAGACTCATGCATTCTCCAGCATTGCTTGCAGTGGTGGATCCTACGTGCGGAAAATGCAAAATGACCTGGCGCCAAGTATATGCAACATACCTCGGCCCACCACGCAAAGAGGGAAAAGGAGTGTCACAGGTAAACCATTGAAGGCCATCAGTAAATGTAACAAAGGTTGAGGGTCCTTCAATCCACAAAATGCGCTAAAACAACAACAACTACCTACATCACCTCTACCAATGCATTGAAATGGTCAATCGATCACCCACGACTCAACCTATCCCAGTGCTTCTTGTTCTGCTTTGTTCTCATTTCTTTTGCGTCTTACCTGGGCTGCCCTCAGATCCCCCGCCAAAAAAAAGCCTGTAGTGGGTTAAATGGAAACTATCTCTAAACGCTAAAAGGCTAAAAAGCTAAGCAACCGGATGGCTGGGAGCCACCAAGTTACCACTGTAGCAACATGATGACTTCCCCTGGCTGCACACTCTCTCGCCTGGAGCGACAGCGGGGCCCCGGCCCACATTGAGGTGCCCATGTGGATCCGTGTGCGTGAGAAGGAGTCGGAGTTGTCTGAGCACCACGCCTGGCTTGGGCAGGCCGAACAAAAATCCGGGTCCCTTTTCCCAGGTGCAAACCAAACAGTCATTTGTAGCAACTGAGCATGACTGGTTTTGTAGTCAGTTTGAAGTAGTTGTGGAGCTGTTGGACTGAAACTCATCATTAGAGTCCTAGTTTTGGAACATGACTCAAACGCACCCAACTACATTGTGTCCTAGAAACCGGCCGAATAAGTCAAGAACATGGGGGGGTCCCAAAAACAAGCGCCCTCCAAGATGAGAAAAACCGAGAGCCAAACGTACACATATTTATGTTTATACATAACACGAAGTCGTGAAAGCGTACGCGTGCGTGCGTCTCACAATAGGCAAGCCTCTGGTTTCCCGAGTTTACAGCCACCTAGAGGTGCCCATTGGGGGAACCACTCAACTGAGTATTTCCCTGGCCGTTTGTCGAAGCGCAGATATGACAGTTCCTTGGTCGAACAAGTACTTCTTCACTGCAAATGTGTTGACTGGAAACGTCTGGGAAAGTTGGGGGAAAGCCGCTTGGACCGGGATTGTGACCGTTTGGCCGGGGACTGTCGCCGATCAAGTCGCCGTTTCGCCTCCATGGACTTGTCCCAGAAGAGTAAAAAAGTTAAAGGTGCTTGCAGACACCCAAAAACACGTTTGCCGGAAAAGCAACTTGTCACGCCCGGCATGGCAAGTACATACTTCGGACGATCAGGGCTTTTTCTGCGATACTTCAAATAATTGCAGAGATGCCAAGCCAGAAACCACAAAGAAACAGGGACTGCAAACGTGCTGCGATGAGCATGAGCACATCCCTTTCCTCCCCAACCAGAAGGGTCGTTGTGGGAGAAGCAGTCCCTGGGCGCAAGCTTTCAAGAAAAACACAGCTGTTTTCAGTGTCTCAAAAGACCAAACAACGCCCACTCAACTAGGCTGGAATTAGGACCCCATCAAAAAATGAGATATTTTTTGCCTGGTAGGTGGAAAACAAAGGGACCCCCCCCCCCCCAAAAAAAAAAGGGAGCTAATTCTGGGGAAGTCAAGTCAGGGAATTGACTTTGCCTCGCTATTCAGGTTCATACAGGCACATGTATTTGCGGATTGTTCTGATGCGCGCCTCGATATGCTCATGAGAATAGTTGAAGTTCTAAACAAGTCTTGGTGAACTGGATATGCTCAACACCTGGCAGTTTCCTTCAACTCCGGAGTTCCTTTCGAGACCATGTCAAGTGTAGTCCAGCACGAGGTCAACCAGGTCGGGAAAGCTCCTGAAACCTTCCCAAGTGTCCAGGAAAGAGGGCTTTAGTATCCAATGCCTTTGCTTATCCAAAAGCCCAAGCACTGTCCAAAAGCCCATTCTCGAAGGCTGGGAAGTAGCAGGCGTTGGGTGCTTCCAGGAGATTCTCCTACCCATTCTGCCTTTCAATGAAGCCAAGCTTTACTACTTGCGCACCTTCGTAGGATCTCAATCTCCGCATGGCGCACTTGGCTAGGCGGTCTTTCAAGACTAGGAGCCCCTATAAATGACTGCTTTCTTGCCAGTTCCTTTGCAGCCCACCCCCGTTCCCATATCAGAAAACCAAACACCCAGTGTCCGACTCGTTTTTTTTTTGTTAAATCCCCTTGTGACGTCGTTTGAAACACCAGCACATAGACATATATATATATATACATATATTCATTCATGTTCCATCAAGTCAAACAACTGGCAAGCCAACACGGTGACAAAGCACTCTGCTGCTGATTGGCTAGCCATGACACTAAGTCGGCCACTACCATCAAGGGCCCCCATCAAGGGTCGTTCATTCCAGCGGGCGGCCAGCTGGACACAAAGACAAGAGTACCACACACAGGTGTCCTTTTATTTAGGGGAAATAGATGGGTTTCCCTGGTAGATGAGCAAAAACCACCAGGTAAACCAGGAATCGCCATCTGTTTTCCTTTTGCAAAACAACCAACGAAGGACACCGATATATGGGTACCACACCGAGGCTCGTGTGCATCCGCCTGCCTGTGGGCACCATGCCAAGAGGGCCGCATCAAACCGCCCGCCGCCCGACCTCGATCTACCGATCCACAGATCTCCAAGGCCATGCTGAACAAAATCCCCGGATACCAAGGTGGTTGGTCAAAGACACCCCTCTTATTTTCGTTGAGAAAAGAGAAGACACCTTCTGCCAAGAGAAGAAACCAATGGCTTGTGAATGGTTGCAGCTGGGTAAGGCAATACGCCCAATGAACAAACTGGATAGGATGAAGGAAAAGGATTTTAGTTTTTGACCTGGACACCTAGCAGTCAACATCATGCCTAGAAACTGGCCAATGACCTTTTCGTCCGAAATGCATCCAGGTTGAGAGGTTGAAAAAGGGAACGGCATATTGAGCGGTTTCGGATAAGAGTTGAAGCAGCGGGGACCCTGGTCCAAGTCACACAAGGATCCCTCAAATGGATCAATGCCGCTTTGGCCGAGAACCCTGGCCGGTTGAAAAGAACTCAGTTGTTCAGTGACCCTGGAACAAAAGGGAACCCTTTTTGGGGAAGACCAATTTTTAGGTGGGCAGCCACCCAAAAAAAGGGAAAAGGGTGCCACTGAACAACTGAGAGAATGATTGGGGCAACGGGTCAGAAGGCAAGTTCGAAACTCTTCGCCCGCGACATCTCCCAGTGACCAAGAGCATCCCGATCAGCATTCACCTCGTTCCATTTTGTCCTGCGGATCCGACGGTGCCCTGCCAGACTTTGAGTGGCCTGCCAGACGGATCAAGCCGCAGCCCTTCCACCTGAAACTGGAGGAAGAGCTTTCTAGTCCATTTTGAGGTTTCCTCATTTTAAGAAACTCGAAACCGTATTGCTTAGGATCAGCCGCGAGTTTCGGAGGAATCGCCCCAAATGGGACGCTGTTCAACGAATTCCAGAAGCTCCATCCCATGCGCGGGGTTGGAAGGGCGAAACTTCAGGACCTCCAATGCACATATGTATATATATATATATATATTTTAAAAAAAAAAGGGAACACACACACAAAAAAAGAGAGGGGAAAAAACACATAAACAACAAAAACAGGAGTCCCTTTCAGCTCGATGTTAAAGGACTCCCCCTCCGAATATCGGAAGTCGGTCTGAAGGTCCGGACGCCTGTTCTTTGGCTGGGAGCCGGCACATAAGGGTTTCTCCATCCACATCCGGCACTTCTTTCTTTACAGCTTGGTGCAACATCCCTCCTGCTTCATGCACGGGCAAATTCAAACTCTGACCAGTCCGGCAAATCCCGGCCATCTGCGATTTCTCGGATGGCATCGGATCCAGAGCTCGACACTGACTCCGCCGAGGACTCCTCGTGACGGCTCTGATCGGTCAGGAAATTGGCCCCTAGCAAGCTGAGTGGCCGCAATGTTTCTACACCCAACCCACCTGCGCACCCTCGAACAAGCAAGCTAAAAAGCACGGCTCTGATAGCGGAGCAAATCCCTGATGCGGCGCACAGCGGATGCCTCAGCATCTCTTTGTCCAAGGGATGGACCTCGTCTGCTTTAGCATAGTTAGCATCCTTGTTTTCCATGCAGCTTCCGGGGTTTGGCGCTTGCCCATCCGCGAAAGCACTGCCTTGGAGCGCAGACCGCAAGTCAGCAGATCCAGCTGGTCCATGAGACGGATAACCTCCCTCGGACCCCGGATTCATCAACCCCAGTTTATTCCTTTTTTTTGGGGGGGTGGGAAGGGGGTTCCTTCCCTCCAAACGTGGTCTGATTCCCCACCAAACCCAATAACACCCTAGAATAAAACTGGGGTTCATGAATATGGGCTCAACATTAAGTTGCAGGGCGTCAGCCCATATCAGAAGAGCTCGCAAGAGCCGCGCATGTGACGCCGCCTGGGATCCCCAGCGCGCAGCTCTCAAAGAGCACCCCCGGAAAGCTGGAGGTCAACACCTGCGGTCAGCCACTCAATGTTTTTGTTTGAGTCATGATCAAAACCCGGTATTAAAACGATCTACCCAATGTAAAGGATTGAGAAGGCGGCCGCAACCATTTATGGTTGGTATTGCCCATCCACTAAGCCTTTTCTTTTGGGGAGGGGTGGGGTGGGGTGGGTGGTTCTGAGTGTGATTGAAAATAAGGGACCCAAATGGTGGTTTCCCTCTTGGTTTCCCTTCATAACCGTCCAAAAAGGGTAAAGGACATCAACTCATGCAAGTGATGTCCACTACATGGTCAATTGAAACCCATACCCATGGTCCACTAAACGCCAACTGCTTGGTGGTTTGTTCTCTACATCTGGTTGTCTTGCTTAAGGAAACCCCAAAAAAGGGCCAAAAGTGGTGGACCTTTCAATCTGCAAGAAGGTCGCCCCTCCCAAACAAACAAACTCGGCCACGTGGGTATGGATTTCAAGTGTGGGCCCAAATCTGTCCAGTCCTTCTGGCTAACTTGTCTGGCGTTTCTTTGTCGGATCCAAATCAACTTGGAATTGCGATGCTTGGGGCTGCAACAAGTATTTGCAATGAGTTTGCAAAAACGTTGTCAATTCGTTTGGGTGGGTGAAGGGCGATGTCCTTCATCCAAGGGGGCTCTAAAGTTTGTTGGCTGGCAGTCGCCGGGCAACGTGGCAGTCAAGAGGGGTGGTGTGTGCTTTAAAATCGGGTGTTGACATGTTCAAGCCTTTTCAGGAGGGGCTCCCGACTTTTGATTTTGACTAGGTCCTCCAGTAGAGAGGTCAGAATAAGGCTACCTTTTTTCTGTAGTCTATTCTTGTACGGGAACCCTCCCCCAAAAAAGAAATGGTAAAAGGGCACTACTGGGGACCTAGTTGAGGTTGCTGAGCACCAACCGGCATATTTGTAAGCCTTTCCAGAACCTCGCGGAGCCTGGCAGCCGGAAAATGGGCTGGAAACGAGGCTCGAGTGCTTGGAAAATGGGCTGGACAACGTATAAGGGTTTAGCAAAACTGTTGACTTATAATGGTTCAAACACAAACAAACATAACAAACATACATTCCCCAGGAATCGTCATCATGTGGCCCGAGCCGAGTTCAACCCCTTTAGTGAGCTTAGTTCAAAAAGGACTGCACAAAGGATGCACATGCAGCTTAAGATGCTTTGTTTGACCATGGTAGAGGATCAATGTCCCCGTACTCGCTGCCATGGAACCAACCAGATCCTTAAGAGGAAAATAGTCTTCCACAGGCCTGCCTTCATCAAGAACCCCCAGGAAAGACTCTCTTCACGGCCTCTCAGTGAGCTCGTCCCCATCTTCGGCACGTTTCTTCAGGTCGTGTTCAACACAGAGCGGGAGTATCCAATTTGTCTTCTGTTCGACATGGTGAAAATACAGGTCATGATAAGTCATGTCTTCAAAGTAGGCTTGGATGGAAATAGAGTCAAGGACACTTGAACAAGCACTCCTGCAACTTCTGGCTGAATAGTTGGACAGAACAAGGCGACTCTACACACGTTGCAAGAGAGGCAAAGGTCAACTGCAAATCAATAGGCCTAATGTTGATTGCCAAGCATGCTCGTGTGAATCTGCGAACATCGTCCGAATGCCCCACCTGTGGATTCTACAGGCAGTTCCCCGAAAGTATTTTCTCATGGATGCACAAGGAGAGCAATCAAAGGCATCTTGAGGACAAAGGAAGTGTGATGATGTACTGATTGCAAGGAACGCTTTTGCCCTTGGACCTATTTCCCCTTGAAACTGTAAAACATCTTTGGCTCCGCTTAGGCCGCTTAGGCCGCTTAGGCAACTCCAACCAAGCAGAGGATATGGACATGGCAACCCAGAACTCGCGAACACCTCTGTTGACTCGAAGCAAAAGGGGTCCCCCGGATCGTCTCGGAGCCTCGAAGACGCGGTAGAGGCCGAGCACGTATCGGTGGTAGACCTGAACCCAAACAAGGGGAATGCTGCCGAACAAAAACTGAAAAATACGCTGCCTGCCAATTGAGTACACGATGTGGCTGGACATAAATATACTTCACACCAGTCGGTAGCGGTTGTCCCAGTATAGGGTTTCATCTATTCCAACTGGTGCAGCATATTGTCCAGCCACGGTATTCTTGTTGATTAACAGCACTAGTGCGTTCCATCAATCTTCGAAACACCTCCATGCTTCTGGGTCTTGATTTGGTTGCCTGGGGTCAAGTGGATCTATAGATTCAATCTCAGTCCGCGACGTTGCCATATCAAACGACGAAAAGATGTTGACACAGCGTCTCCCCTGAAAGAATTGAATGACTCTCCAATTTCACGATATTGGGCTATCTTTTGAAGAGGTGCGTCATGGGTGAGGTCACAGACTGCCGTATATATATGTTACATTGTTTTACGATATATATATATATATATATGTGTGTATACGCGCATCTATATCTAGATATGTATGTATACTTGCATAGACGTCTGTAAGCGGCCGGTCAACAGGCAGTGCAACCTACCTCAGCAAGAAGTTAAAACATTGATAAATCCTGTGCGAAGCAAGTTTCCACCTGAGTAGCACACAGCTCACCCGCTAACTTGGGAAGGAACACTGTGCTGGTCACAAAGGATAGACGTGGAGCAGTGAATATGTCGCATGGGCAAACATCGATGTTCGTCAACCTTTGAAGAACAACTTCCCGGTTGCAAAGCGATTCCTGTGTTTGTGGGAGGGCGCTCTCTTAGGGTTCCCCGTCCCCAAGCCACTGCCCCGGACGGCAATTGGGGGATATAACCTCAATTGACCAAGATGTATTCCTGTATTTACTAATGTGTATTTTATGAGCTGATTGATCTATTAATTTCTGTATGCATTCATTTGTGCTATTTGATGTACACCGGTTTATTTGTTTGTCTATGTGTGTACGCCCGCTCAATGCCGCAGAATACGCTGGCAAGGTAAACTGCTACAACGCTGTACACAGGATAACCTTGGGGCCAGTGCATGAGATGCAACTAACATATTGATAATATCCAAGTGGCCATGAACCAAGGTGCGGCAACCTTCGACTTCTGAGGCTTAAGACATCCGCCTGAGTCTCAGTTGTTGGTGCATCATCTCACTTGCAACAAAGACAGCCAATGCATCATTGTGTTTGATCCTGGAGCGACAATGGAAGAGGGGTTGACGTAACGAACACAGCATGTTTACTTTTTGGGATTGCCTTTGAAACTGGGCAAACAGTGGAAAGTTACCATGTCGCAGTAAATGACATATACATCCTCGGTTGCTTTCTGCTCCCAAAGTTTAACTTTTTGTGGTGCAATGGAAAACCCATCAGTTTGCAAAAAAATAAAGTCCCAGCAACCAGGCAAAATGCACCTTATCTCCATGAGACGCCAACCGCGGCCCTGCGCCCCAAAAAAGCCCCACTCCGAGTTGCTCGCCTCTCCTTGCTGCCGGGGCCTGAAGTGGCAGGCGTGGTGCCTCTCTGGTTTCAGCCAAACAACGTCCAGGGCAAACGGCTGGTAGGACTACCGCGGCCACGCACAGGAGACGCAGAGGTGGTTCCCCATTCTTTCCAACCTGTGTTCACCTGCCACCCGGTATTCCTGGGGTTTGATGGGAACCACAGACAATGTGGTAGCCATAGAGGCTATCAAGCTGCTTGTTTGTAGTCCTAACACACAGCCAACTCAACAAAGCAAGGAACCGCACCAAGCGACCAGCCAGCCAGGCAGCCAGTCAACCAAACTAAGCAACTGGCTGTCGGTTCCAAGTCACTATGACCCGATATGATATGCTGACGGGCTCACCTGGTTTGGTGCATTGGTTTGGTGCATTGGTTTGGTGGTTTGGACGTTAGGGGGCAATGTACGTTCCCGTTTGATTTGAGAAGGAACCGGGGGTTCGAATCACTAGATTTCCGACCCAAACCACCAACTGGGGTATTGGCGCCATTCGGACTGATAGGCAAGCCATATATATATATATATCTCTCATTTTGCACCCGATGCTGCCAAGATTTCCATTGCGCCTCGACTCAAAGGCAAAGCTCAGATCATTGTGATCAGAGCGACCACATGTACACTTCCAACTTCACACCATCGGCAGATCAAGCTTGAGATGAAGAATTATCACTTCTGCCTGCAGCTCAACGAGGGCCGGGCTGGGTGGGCCCCAAAAGCTTCAGCGCCATGTCATCATCATCACATGTGAGAGATAAATGGACATCTCTCATTTTGCACCCGATGCTGCCAAGATTTCCATTGCGCCTCGACTCAAAGGCAAAGCTCAGATCATTGTGATCAGAGCGACCACATGTACACTTCCAACTTCACACCATCGGCAGATCAAGCTTGAGATGAAGAATTATCACTTCCGCTTCTTCGATTCTGCACCGCAAGTGACCTTTGAGGAGAGGACGGCTTTTGACGCTGCGTCAAACTCGCGCAGTGTCTGTCTGGCACAAGGACTCAGTTGATGAAGCAGCAGCTGCGCTGCCACTTCCTGCAAGTAGAATTCTAACGTGCGAGTCCGTGACCATCTGCCTCTCCACGCAATCCATTGCACATCTTCGGAAACAGCGTACAGAAAAGTTGCCCCGCTGCCGCGGAGCACACCGGGTGTAGCCCCTCGAGAGGCTTGACTGTGAGGAATGCTAAGCCGTGCCATGATATGGTTCCATTGTCGTCGGAACCCATAGGCTGTTCCAGGATACAACTTCTCATGCAGCTGTAAATCGAAAAACAAACTCTCGCAGACCCAAATGATGAAACTGTCGTCGATCCGACCGTGTTGTCGTCGGGCGAAACGAGCTGTCTTGGGATTTCGGATGTGCAGGAACATGCAGTCCATGTCAAAATCCAGGTCTCGAGGGAAGACCAGATCAGCCCGAGTCAGATTCAGCATTTCTGCAGGGTGCAACATTGCTGCAAACCCTAGCAACACTATCCCGACCCACGGCATCCAGTCCCACATCGCCGCCAGACAAATCGCAGCTCTGATGGCTAAGGCTGGAAGGACAGCTCGGCACTGTCCCGGCTCATGCACTTGCCATTTGCGATCAACTTGCCACGCGACATGCATCTGAGACTTGCAAAACGGCAGAATATCCTGAACGGCAGTGATGGCATACACAAACATGTACCTAGGCAAGCCCTGAGCAAAGCAGTACAGGCCGTAGCCACGAAGAGCCATGGCCGTGGCTTTTGCATTGGTCGAGACAGCCGCCCAGTCCAAACCATGTTCTGCAGTCAACCATTCTTGGAAGGCAGCAAGGCATTTGGCCATTCGGTCCGCCGTGGCTGGAGCAAAGCCAACTCCCATGTCCATCGGGCCCCTTGGGACGCGATCGCGCGTCAAGCCGGGACCTGGGTTTCTTTCAATGTCACCAGCCAACAACAACAAACATCTCAGCCAGCGAGCGGGATTTTTGCTGTACCGAGCAGACTGACGAACTCGGTCAAACATCTGCGGGTTGGCTTGCTGCAGCTGCTTCAACCATTCAGGAAAATCCTTTGAAGCAGGGCGCACTGGCCGGCCGCGGGATGGCTCGTCAGCACGGTTGAACTTTGACCCGCAGTGCAATAGTCCAGTGTACAAACCTGAACCCAGGGAATAAGCTACGCAGCCTTGGAGCACACGACTCAGCGCAAACGAACTCGAGCGTCCCTTGGCGCTAGCACCAATGCAAACTCTGCTGTCCAAAAGGCCCACGAAGCGGCTGTCAGGCTCACGCTTGCTCATGGCCTTCAGCCACGTTTTGTACGTCCGTGTTTCATTCACATTTATGTGGCCGGGGACCTTGAATTTGAAACGAAACATCTCTATAAAATCTGCTGACTCACAAAGTTCTTCAATCCACTCTGGGTCTTCGTGCCAGGGTCGCAAGGGGAATTCTTGCTCCACTTTAACAGCTCTACTTATTTCGCCAGGAAGGAGCCCTAATTCTTGGCGAGTGGCTTTGTAGGCAGCTTCAGGGATCTTCAGGCAATGACCCTTTGCCGCTGCCAGACTGCCGCTAGCCATCCGGCACATCAACAGCTGGGGGTACGTGCCAGAAAACGTAGAGATTCTGTCACCTGGGCGTGGCGAACGGCCGTAGACAACCTGCGAACTGGGTTGGCACCTGGCTTCAAACTCTTGGATTGACGCTTTTGTGAAAGTGCCCTTGATGACGAAGTGCCGTTCGGCACACGCGCATCTGCTAGAGAGGGGAACTAACCAGGGTTTATTATGGACCATTTTGATCCTCTTTGGAAAGCACTGCCGTAGGAGCAAAGCTATAATGAGAGATTACACAGCCCATCATGCAGAGGACCTTGTAGCAATGCAAAAGAAACAATCTGGAACCTCTGGGTTGCTCGACGCTGATGTACTGACCGAGCGAGAGTGCAATGGTCATGATGAAACAGGCTCTCTGGGCTAACTTATTATGGTACGCGGTGTAGGGATCAGCAGGGTTAAAACCAAAAGGGCAAGCCTTGGACCTGACCTGCGGCCGTCTCAGTGTGCCAAAAGATGGACAAGGCACCCCGCAATGCCACTCACGCACCACCCGGCGCGCAGCCAGGGAGATCAGCTCTCGAGCAGTCTGATCGCTTGTCAGGTCAGCGACTCTCAGCCGCTTGCCGTTGCAACCAATGCCATCATGCACGCGGAGGCCCATTTGCTGGTGAGCTTCAGACCACGCACCCGTCCCTCTAAAAATTTCGACGCAATCAAAAAGAACCCCTTCGTGCAGACTACTGGGCACCAGGTCGGAAAATTCAGTGGTCTCTGGGATTCTGTGATGGTCGTAAAATTGCTCAGCAGCTTCAGATCTCAACCCTTTCTCCTCGAGGTATGCTGACACAGGGCTTTGCAAACGGGTGTGGAACCCTTTCTGCTCGGCATGTCGCCACAACTCCTGGGTCACGCTTGCGCCTACGGGAGCCACGCAAACAGCTCCACCATCAGGACTGGCGTCCGTGGTGAACAGATTTGTAGAATAGGAAACGCGGAGGTCGGTCTGGGCTAAGGGGCCTAGAATCCCTAGCACCTGCAATTCGTTCCTGGCTTGCCTACTCAGAGGGAACACTTTGTTAGACGGTAACCCTCGCCCTTCATGGAACAAAGCATCCATCAAGGCAAACATGACTCGCCGATACAAGAGCACATGTACCCAACAACCAGTGACCATAGCAAGGAGCTTGGGGGTGCATGCTCCAAGCCGACTTATGGTCAAACTGATGAGGCACAAGATGGCGATACGATTTCGTGGGGCCATGGTTCTGCCTGTGACACCATCGAAATCACAACCAAGTATGGTACCGGAGGTCTCGTTCCGCTTACGTTTCCGCTCATGCTGAACCAAGCCAATGTTCTTGTAGGCTTTCTCAGCCGCATTGAACACAACCGTATCACGAAGAGGAGGATTATCTGCAAGCTTAGTCTTGGGAACCTTTTGAACACCTACATGGTCGTCGATTGCAAGAAGCTCGACGAAATCACTCCTCGGACATGGCTCTCGATACTTCATGGTTTCAGATGGGAGCATGGAACCGCAAAGATACCGCAACACATTGAAGTGGGCTTGCTGTGCTATTTCCACAGCTAAGGAATCACCCATCGCTAGGGTCTGCAAAGCCACTAAATAATGGGTATGAGGCAACGTCGGATCAAAACATTTGAGATGGGACACTTCATCAGCTGTGAACACAAACCGAACACAATTCCTGAAGGCACGGGCTTTGGAAACTTTGAAAGTGTAATAGAAATCTGACAGATCATCTGCTGAAAATCTGAAGACCTCGTCCTCTTTCAAGTTCAACAGGCCCAACATGGCCCCTGGGGCAAGGCTGCGAGTGAAATCGCTGATGGAGTGCATTCTACCATTGATGACCTTTGGGTTGATGATCAGCCTGTCAAAATTTTGGTCCTTTGGGACGCAGAACAGACCCACCGCCTCATCCATATTTTTCGCCTCGGCTGGGACCAAGCAGCAGGCCCCGAGGTCATCCCATCGCTGTGTCAGCTTCAAAAGTTCCTCCTTGGTGCAAAACACTTTACCCGGCAGGAAATGCTCCCACTGTTCGATGGGCTTTCTCAAAACTTCTGGATCAAGATAAGCTGATCGAATCAAAGGATTGCTGAGGAACGGTGCTGCATCAAACGACGGCGCATACTCCCATTTGACACGGTCTGAAACCACCGGGCGTGAGCTAGTCAAAGGTAGCTCAACGCGAACATCGGTATCTGTACCGCAGTGGCTTAAAGGCGGATCGACAGCTGCTTCAGATCTACAGTCCTTTCTAGCAAAATGCGAACTGTAGGGATCAAAATCAGACAAAATTGCCATGCTGATTTGCTCTAGGTCCTCCAACCCCGGCTCCTGCTGAGGGAGTTCCTGAATGCAACGGATCAAATCTTGGAACTTTTCGGCAGACCTGCCCAAGTCACCACTGCTGAAACCGGTCATGGACGAGTAGTCCAACCGCTCGAGGATATCATGCTGGGCTGGAGTGATATGACTACCGATACAAGCATGCACGGGAGGTCGGACCGGATGGCCCAGAGTCTCCCAATTGAGAGCCCACACTATGAGCTGCAACAAGCGGTGCCTCAGTTCAAGCTTCCGACGCCTCTTACGACGCCGAGGTCCCAAGTGATCGCTACCCGACCAACGCCACCTGGGTGGGGGCACGGGCCAAAGAGGGACATGATTGTCCCTCTGCACGAGACGGGTGCGCGAGTCTTGAAGACTCAGCATTGCGAAATGGCCTAAACCAGTTCTGCAGCTAGTAAAGATATCACATGCGTGGATAATTAACCTTAAGGGATCAAGGCCAACTTCAGGGTTATGCAAATCCGGGAGCGAAGGCTGTCTAGATAACTCTTTATCAACCCTGCCTGCACGAACACTCTGGGCAACTCTCGGCCCCTTTGCTCGAGAGCATGAGGATTTCTTACCCTTACTGGTATTACCCTTTTGACCAGCTGGCGGGGAAGCTGTGCAGGGGCTTTGATTTTTTTTCCCACGGACGTCAACGGGACTGGAAAAACTGGGGCCCCTTTCGCCACTATCAGCCAAGAGACTGCACGCTCCCATGCTCATAGGTGACGAAATTAGGACCTCTGCATCTTCCGCTTCGGGAATGGATTCCAGCGTCACGCCTCTGAAGCGGGTGTCTCCGCCTCTGCGCTGCCTCGGCCCCCTCTGCTCTTGCCTTTGCCTTTGCCTTTGATCTTGGGCTTCTTGTCCTTCTCCTCTGCCGTTTCCGGGGATGCCTTGGAATGGTTCTTCTGCAACGCCGCGAGCCGGCCCTCTGCATAGTCCAAGTCCTTGAGATAGGCCAGATTTGCTGAGACCCACGCCGGCGAAGCGAGGCGGCTGAATGGTTTCAGCCCTGGAGCATTCTTCACAGAGAACAGCATCGCCTGGTTTGGCTCTGTGTAGCCGGTCAACAGCCAACTGAGCTGCAACCGGCCCCGGTCCAAAGCAGTCTGCTCCGTGAAAATTGCCATCTTGCCTAAGAACCTGAGCATCTCGGCATTCCCGCTCTGGTAGGCAATGTCCCAGCCCTCTGCGATGAGCACTGCAAAATGCGCCAGCAAGCGGTTCTCCAGAAGCGGCATCCGGCGTTCCACGTAACGCCTCATCACACTGCCATCTTCCCGGCTGGCACTCATGCCTAGCTCGGCCAAGGCGTTTGCTCGAACCACTTCCCCCAGTTTCACCAGATCTGATGACGTGCGCAAAAACGCATCCCTGGCTAAGCATCCTTTGACGCCTGAGCTGCTGGCGCTGCCGCTGTCCCCTCCGCCGGAAAGAGCACCGAGGATGGGGTCCGTCTGCTTGTTGGACACCAGTTTTTTCAACAACATGGAGTTCTGTTGAAGCTGCAGCATCATCATCTGCTGCAAAGGATCCAACTTCTGGTCTGTGAGGGACTGAAGAATCTGGTCCGTGATCTCTGGGTCTTCGGCCTCTTTTTCGACCTCGGCGTAGAGATTCTCCTGCAAAACGGTCAGAGGTTTCAAACCGCGATCTCTGGCTTGCCCCGCTGGCTTTGTTGGCGGTGGACCTGCCAATCTGCTCAACCGTGTCCACTGCTGCTCGGTCAACTGGCCTTCTGCTGGGCCGTCTGGGAACAGCGCGCGTCCCTTCAGCAGATTCGCCTGAGGAGCAGGCTTGGGAGATTCTGCTGGGACTGGACGGTTGGCCCGCCTGGCTTCGGCCTCCAGAGCTGCTATGCGAGCCAGCAGTTGAGCTCTGTCGTCCGTGGCATCCGCCCTCTCCGGAGTCTCTTGGCCTTCCTCCTCCTCGTCCAGCGGCTCTCCTTCTGCAGCAGTCTGATACTCCTGAGCAGTGTCCTCCGCCATGTCTTCTGCAATCCAGGCCTGAGCAGCGGCTAACACTGCTGCATGCTGGGGGCGACAAGGCACATCGCCAAGCAGAGGCTGCACAAACTCCAGCTCTCGGACAGCCCGGCTGCGAGAACTCAGCACATAGGCAAAACGTGGAGCGGCGTCCCAAACCAGATCGACAAGGAAGCCCGGACCTTCGCCGATCGCTCGTCCACGAGTGTTGAGAAAGACGACTTCGACTGGCCGGAAAATAGGCTCGGCCGTTGGCTCTGCCCTCGCATCTTCTCCATCCAGAAACGCGTGCACCTCGTCCTGCGCAGGAATGAACACCATGAAGCCTCCAGCCCTTGTGTGCACCAACCAGCAAATTGCAACACGTTGGAGGCTGCCGTCCGATTCGGGCATAGGTAGCCAGATTGGCTTCAAGGTGCTCCGCCCTTCCGCGGCCAATGCCTCGATGGCCCCCTGGTCCAGGGGCCTCATAGCTGCTGCGGTCATGGTTGGCGGGCTGACCCGACCAACAATGCTTCACACTTCGCTTGCAAAGGAAAGCCGTGGCTGACAGTGCCCCGGTGAAAGTCGGCACCGCTCTGACAATCACGCAGTGAGAAGATACTTCCTTGAAGACGACGGATCAAATGCTGAACTGGCTGAAGGGAAAAACGCTTCAAGCTGCGAGGAGTGGTGGTAGCAAGGGGGGTGGATTCCAAACTTCGTGGTATCCCTGAGTCAGCCCCTGTCGGTGTGGAGCTAAGAGGAGTAGATCTGACAAACCTCGAACCCGTTGACAGTAGTAGAGCTATCAGTTGGCGGCACTTGTCGCACCGCAATAGTCAGTTCCAGATTGGCAACACAAAATGCGATTTTCCTCAACTGGATCTGCCCCACCCACTGATTGCAGCTACTGGTCCCGGTGATACTCAGCCAGTCTGGCGCCCGCACGCGGTGCCGGGGGTACCAGCCCAGCTCCGATCACGGATGCCAAGCCCCGCAGAACCACGACAAGCCCCTGCCTGCAGTGTGTAGAGACAAAGGCCAGCGCCACGCAGAAGCCAATGAAGATACCGCACCCAAAGGCGCAGACGATGACCAGGGCAATGGCACCCCAAGGACACCCGGCACAGGATGCGGTGCCCCAGAAACGGAATTCGCGAGCGAGTTCGAGGGCCCACCCGCTAAGGCTCATTTGACCCCAAAAGCTTCAGCGCTATGTCATCATCATCACATGTGAGAGATAAATGGACATATGCTGACATGACGTGTCATGGTCAAGACTTCTTGTGCGTGCCATGATCCTGCTCCCCTTCAAAGGAGCCCTCACACTTGCCGACATGTCCTTTTAAAGGATGTTCTGACCCAATGGTGTGCAAAGAAAGAATCCACAAACTGACGTCGGCACCATTCGGGCATCAGGAACAAGCTCACTGGGGTGTTTGTGAACATATCTCCACTGCATGGAACAGAGCGATGAGGTGCCAAATGGTCAAAAGAGCTACGGGCACTATTGTTAACAGCTTGGTTGCTGTTCATTCCTATGCAAAGCGTGTTCACCTTTTTGCGAGTCCAATGGAGAGTCCGACCTTCTTCAACCAAAAAGTTAAAGTCCAAAGATCCGCTACCAAATAGCCTTTTCCTTTTGGATGGAGCAGGGAACATTTAGAGTCCTTCGCCCTCATGCACGATAGAGTATCAGTGCTATTATCAGTTCCTCAATCGCCTGCCCCCCTGCCCCCTCAGAAATTTGTAGTCCGAGGCTAGCTATGTTGGCAAAGTTTGAGTTTCAAGGAACCTTGCATTTCAGGTTCCATGTGTCAAGATGCATTGCTACCTGCCCTCCAAAGTATGTCTCCCAATTTATGCTCTGCTGTACTCCTCATATTCCCCTCTCTTGCAGGTGGGTCTCCCAATGAGTTGGCCCAACCCTTAGTGACCCCGGTAGCAAAGGAGCCCTGCTCGAGCTTGGCCTTCAACAGAAAGCCCACACCAAAAACCAACGGACCCCCCCCAAAACGCGGAAGTCGCTGTTCATGAGGTTCCGGGCGGAAGCGCGGCAGAATATGCGTCCGTGAGGGCACGGTTCATGTCCCACCTCGCTGTGAGGGAACCCCTTCTTGGGGCTGGTGTTCACTGTGCCAGTCTCAAAACCCCGTCAAAAGTTGCTGGTTCGCTGGTTGAAGGGGCAAAAAGTCGAAAAGGTCAGCTAAGGGAAGCCAGAAGGAAACGCAAGAATACGGCAAGTCGCGTATCAAGTCGATTGAACACATCGTTTTGTGCGTGTATGCCTCCTAAGCCTGAGTGGTGTCTCTGGGGCTTCCCGCTAACACATCCTCGGAAAGGTAGCCTCGCGATCCTCCTTTTCTTGAAGCTTCGTGAAATGGCTCCCAACCGGGGTGAAACGATTCGCCTTGACGAATTCCTGAAATGCGAAAGGGCAGGCTCTCAGGAAGCGCAGTGGTTGAACTTTCTAACCTTCCCGCTCCCCTTAGTAGTGTTGAGCACATCGCAATCCACAGGGTGCTCCAATTCTTATGACCGTTGTTGTTAGTTTCCTCTTTATTGGTTTGCGGTGGTTTCAGCGGTTGTCTACCCAACTTCCCATGTATTTCCATCGTCCCCCTGTAGTCTTCCTGTAGCGTCCTGGTAGTCTTGCCGCAGTCTTGAGGTAGTATATCTCTCCTCCAGTGGTCTTCATGCAGTTTTCTATATAAATGAAGACTTTCCCGTTGACGAATAGCGAGACTTACGCTTTCAGACAGCGCAGCGCCACCACGAGGTTCTCAGAGGCTTGTCAATTCTACTGTTGGTTAGGTGGACTATAGCTACTTTGATTCGAGAAACGCCCCCTGAGAACAAGAGAACCTGGGCCTACCCATCGTTTCTACTTCCTCAATGGGTTTATTAACTTATTATTCAGTGATTTAGCATAGTTCCATAATTTGGGGGGCATGTGATTGCTAGCGAACAGCCGTGTTTTAGTTGGAAAACCGACATGGTTTTAGGGTTCCAGGCTTTGCGTTTCACCAAATCCCGTGTTCAAATAAAGAGCCCAGTGCCTCTGGTTGACTTCCCCATGGGCACCGGATCCTCTCGTCGGAAGACTCTCCTGCAACCGGGGTACTTGATGTACTCCACGTTGGCGCTGCTCAGGATCTCAGCCGAGTGTGCAACAAGGCTCCGAGATACGGCAGGAAGTCACTCCCACTTGGTCCCTTTCAACCTGAAGCTGGCATCAAGCCTAACATGGCCATGGGTCCAAATCCTAATCGTGCCCCTAGTGAACATCCCAATCCCCACTAAAATAGACTCAAATGGGTGGTGCACCTACCCCCCAAATGGGACCATTGGTTTTGACCCACAGCCACATCTTTACCAACATCTTGTTTGTGGGCATACGTCTTGAGATCACCAAACGTTGGCGGAATTTCATTCGTACAACCACCCTTCCCGCCTTGCCTATTTGCCAAGCTCGGGAGGTAAACTCCGAGTTCCCCGCGAAAAAGGAACCTGGGCTTTCAGGACCTCCCGTCAGGTACGTCTAGATTTTCCCTCCTGCTTCTGATGATTCTGCCCTGCCATACCTCACCAAATGGCCCTAGACGACAAGCATTGCTGCGGCGCATCTTTGCCAAAACATGTCCATTGTTTGTTTCATCGCCAAGATCTGCAATACGGGTGCTTCCGCAAACACGCACCTTGCCAGGGCTGTGAACACAATGTACTGCCCAACATGCATCTTTGCGGGCCCGAAGGCTGGCGTTGGCTGGTCCTGGGTCCTCTCCAACAATTGCTTCAGGACTCCATCCGGGAAGCCCCAAAGCGTATTCAGGTGTCTAATTTGACTTGCTGGGGGGATACTTCTTGAGCCAGGTGTTTTGACCCGTTTTTGGACAAATCCATGGCTCTGGCAAAATGAAACTGAACCCAGGGCCATCCGGGTTTGTCTTTTTTAGGGAACCCCCGCCAAAAAAAACAAAAGAGGGTGGTTTTCCTCTTGGCTTCACTTCAAACCAACCAGAAAGGGTCCCAAAACAAACACACCCATCTATTTTCTACCGAACTGACGTAAACTCAGATGCCCAGTGGCCAGGGGAGAAAAAGGGCATCTTTTTTTTGGGTGGTTGAGCTTAAAACAGGTCACCACTGGGCAACTGGGTAAAAGGAACGACTGTGGCTTTGACAGATCTTCAGATGGTCCCATGAGGGCTGCACCTTGCTGACCGCGTCGATGATGTAGTCCTGGCAGCAACGGACGCTGGCTCCAAAAAGGCATACGAACGTTGGCATAGGTGTCCCTTTAGGGGAGATAGATGGGGTTCCCTGACAGATGAGAAAAAACCACCAGGTAAACCAGGAATCGCCGTCTAATATTTCCAGCAAGACAACCAAGAAGGACACCTATGAATCTATGAACGTTGGTACTTTGGGCCAAACTCCCACTGCCCACTTGCTCAGTGACCCGGATGGAAACAGGGAACCCTTTTGAGGTTGACCACGCCTTCTGGTAGCCAAACCAAAGGGACCTAATTGGAGGATGCCACCGAACAACTGGGAATGCAACATCTGGGCAGTGTCATAGGTGTTCTTTTGGGAAAATAGATGGCCCTGGTAAATGGAATGAAACCAATCTAAACCAGTGCCATCTATTTCTAGCCAAAATACCCTCAAAAGGACTCCAATGGGCAGTGTTTGTTTTTGTCGGGCCTTGTCATTTTGTTTACTTGCTTCCGCCATGCCATGCCTGCGCCAAAAGCGATCACTCAAATCGCCTACGCGACAGCGTGACTGGAACACATTTAGGGCTGCGCAAAACGGCCACTGGTCAGTACAAGCGTAGTACGGGCAGTGCAGTTTGGCAGCTCACCTGGAAAATCACAACTCTTGAGTACAAGTGGTCCACAACGTGCACTTTGGCAACCTGTCAGCACGAGGTACACATTGGCAGCTCCAGCTCCAAAAGCGGGGGGGCCAAAAGGAAGGACGAGCCCTGAAGAGGCCCCCTGGGTTGGATCTTGGGACCTGGCCAATTTGTTGGACACGCAGGGCTTCGCAAGCCGTCAGACACGTCCCTTGCAACAACGCTTCGTATCTTTCACCCCCCCTTCATAATAGCACTCGTCAGGTGACATGTCAACCTATCAAATCGTCAAAATGTGGACCTTCATCCACTAAAAACAACTCTGCTCATCAAAGGTCTATGACCACAGAAACGACACAAACCAACGGCTCGCCGGCTCGCCGTTTTTTCGGCCTGCACTTCAACCCGGGTAAGGTCCAGGACCAGCTGATTCCTGGCATCAGAGGTTGAGCGCCCAAAGGCCATGGGGTTCGGCGTGAATTGCAACACTTCGCCAACCGAAAACCAGTGGAGGTCACCTTAGGAAGCTTCATCATGGGGGTTCGCTCAAAAGTGCCCCTTAGCTGGTTGCCCTTTTGGTGCACCCATCTCGGACCCTTAATGTTGGACTCTCTTTAGTGTGACCCCCCCCCCCACCTGGAACAGTGGAACCAGCTCTCTTTAGTGAGATCCTGGGGGTCCGGGAGGGGCAGTACATACTTTGGTATTGCCAATTCTACTTTAGTATTGCCAAAGCTCCCTCTCAGAACCCCAGTACTTACTTTAGCATTGCCAATTCTACTTTAGTATTGCCAAGGCTGACTCTCAGATCCCCAGTACTTACTTTAGTATTGCCAATTCTACTTTGGTATTGCCAAGGCTGACTCTCAGATCCCCAGTACTTACTTTAGTATTGCCAATTCCACTTTAGTATTGCCAAGGGTCGTTTTTTCAGCAACCCCCAAAACCAGTTGGACACTAAAGAGGACCCCAAAACAGTAGCATTAAAGAGGATCTGGGCCTCTTGTGGGCACCCTTTGTGTGACTGTTTGCCCGCACTTTTTTGTAAAGAAGTTATCTTAAATTTGATGGGAACAACTTGCAAAATCGATTTCCTAGATCTCAGGCCTTTAACCTTTGAGCTGGGGAGAGCTTAGGATGAGTCCCCTTCTTTAAAAGTAAAAGGCTGAGGCTTTGGTTTTCAGTGTTCAGCAACCCCGAAACCAGCCAGACACTAAAGAGGACCCCAACACAATCGCATTAAAGAGGATCTGGGCCTCTTGTGGGCACCCCCCTTTGTGTGACTGTTTGCCCGCACTTTTTGTGTAAAGAAGGTATCTTAAATTTGATGGTTTGGGGACCACTTCAAGAAAACAATTTCCCAATGTTGGCCAGGATTTGGTTGCCTGTTTTTGTTGCCCGACTTGTTTGCCAAGTTATTTGCCCATATGTTTCCCAGTGCTGTTTCCAGCAAACAACTTTCCACAATAGAGAACCCCTAAAACGGTCACAGGATTCTGAATTAGAAAAGCAGTTTCCACAATAGAGAGTACTATTAATAAAGGAGGTCCAACATTATGTTTTTGGAAAGACCCAAGGAAGACGAAGATACCAGGGGTGCAAACGAGGAACGCCTGGATACCTGGCTTCCTTCAAACCAACAAGAGTATATAAGCTAGGTCCTCCAGTAGAGAGGTTAGAACGGGGGTACTTTTTTTTCTGTAGTCTATTTTAGTAAGGGAACCCTCCCCCAAAAATGGGCAAAAGGGCACTACTGGGGGACCTAGTAATGGAATCTGAAAACAGGTTTTGGACTCCTCATTCAGATCGAGATCTAGCGGTAAGTGCTCGCCTCTCAGGGTGTGGGTTTCCATCTCAGGAAAAGCTCGAGAGGAACCCAGGGAATCGAGCCAGCCGTTTTCAAACTTCTGCAAAATGCATCTGTGGACATCCCCCCCCCTTTTTTTCTGGCCTTCAGACCCCCCTAAATACAACCGGAAGCAAAGCCTCTTGGACAAGAGGCTACCTTCACTCCGCATTTATGTTTGGAAGGAACCGTGTGCACCAGGGTGACAATTTATTGGGACGGCACAGTTGTCTTCGTTAGGGTAGTTCACCCAACTGCAAGAACACCTCACCTGCCGAAAGAATCTGGAAAGAACAGGTCCAGGTGACATTACCTGAGTTGAGTCATCATTGATATACTCGATACGAACTCATGACAACCCGTACCAGCAATTGATCGCGTCAAAACGAGCACCTAGGCAGTCCCTGGGCCGCTTTTCTTCTTTTTCTCTACGCAGATCGCTCGGCTTTGGGGACGAAGACCATGTTGTAGCCCGAGCGCAAGATCTCCTGGACGCGACTTGATTCAATCGCTTGTCCATGGAGCTTGGCACCACCTCGCTAGCTCCCAGCCTTGAGGATCATTCTATAGTCACAAGGGAACATCATGGCTTTTTTGGCCTCAGGGAACCTCGAAGCCCGGTTTTCAGCAGGAAAGCGACACACACACCTCTGAACCGTTTCAGAACTTCGGCCCAAACGAGAGCAAAGACCATGACCACCAAGTGACTGCTCTGTCCCATCTTCTGTGACATTCGATCTTTGCTTCCGGAAGGCCCTTCAGAACACGTCAGCCAACAGAAACGAAGCTAGCAATGCGCGATTTCATCCAATCTAGCAAAGCATCAACCAATCCCAACCAATCCCATCAAGCTATTTTCGAGAAACCCAACTTGCCAGCCAATCAGCCCATGGATCTGCCACAAATTTGCCAATCAGTCAGGCATTAAAGGGCTCCGGCAAAAGCAGCTTCAATCCAAGTCTTCCCAGGGTTTCCAATCCAATCAAATCAAGCATTTCGCAAAGAGGGCAATGATATTCCGCAAGTACCATGCCGGGTCTGCAAAGAGTGGAATTCCACAACCCTCCTTGAAAGTAAGTGGGACAAGACAAGTGTTTCTGGATAACGCCTTTTCTGCCGTTTCAATAATGACTTTTACTTTGCGAATGTGTTGGACATCTTAAACCCTTAAACTAGCCGTTCAACTGAATGACGAATCCGTCCAAAAGCGGGCCTCCGACGCCTAACAATCGTTTGGCCTGGAACACGGGTCGGCGTGTGTTTTTCTTTGTGGCGTCCAGCGCTGGTAATTTTAGTACTCGCGAAAGGCTGGGCTCCAAGGTTGGGCCTATGTTCAAGTCTAATCGACCATTGTAACAACTCTTTGTGGGTTTGCCGTTCGCGGCCGGTGCCTGGATGACGAAACATATTGTGTTGGGGCGCATAAACGACTTTTGCACGGAGAAACAGGTGTGGACACTTTGAGATCTTCGCAACCTAAGTTCTAGCGACCAAATACAGGTCCAGAATTTTGGACATCTTCGGGGCCGCCCTTTTACTTCCTTGGGGGGTCCTGGGGTGGGTCCCATCCAAATATGAAATTTGCTTAATTTGGCTTAATTAAGCCCAACTAGCGTTGCCAGCCCCAACGTGATCTTAACTTTTTTTTTGGGGGGGGGAAGTGTTGGTGGGGGGGGTTCCCGACTTGGTGAATCAACAATCTCTCCTTGTAGCCCAGGGAGATCACGTGAGGGCGTTGCTTCTCCGAGATCTCGAGGATCACCACCTTGTTTCGGGAACCCAAATGCAGCCAGCCCCCATCAAAGGCAACTCAGGGAACTACCAAGTCCTTGCAGCACTCCCAAAACTGGAACTTGATTCGGATCCCCCCCCCCCCCGGCTCCTTGGCTTCCTTCCAAACTGCTAGAGATGTTGCTTCCATATGTAGAGTTCCGGAAGCCGCGAAAGAAGCAGAAAGAAACCCATGGTGACACTGCAGAGCCGGAAGGAAAACAGTGGAAACTCTCAAAAATCTGTGGCTTCTCTTTGAGTTCCCGCTCCTAAGTTCAAGAGGACCCCCCTTCAAACTTCTCATCGAGTTTTCGCCTTCTCGAAGCAGTGAGCTCGCCAGATCGATTTGCCGAGACCCCATTCACACCCTCCAAGCCTCATCCTCACCTACCGCCACTCCCCTCCTCCCGCCTGGCAAAAAAAAAGCATATGTCCAGTAGTGATATGTTCCCTTTGAAACCACCGGTGGTAACTAACACACTTCAAATACCCCTAAGCAAACAGACGACGACCTCACCACCCCGCATCCCACAGCCCCCCACAGCCCCCCCACAGCCCCGCCCGAATCCGCCTCGAAGCGGCAGCCCCTCTCGTGGATCCGCACAAAGAGCGCCAGATCGAAGCCCTCCGCGTCAATGGACAGCACCGAAAACCCGCAGCGGCCTGAGGTCGACTCGGCAACCTGGTGGGTTGGTTGGTTGGGTGGGTTGGTTGGGTGGGTGGTTGGGTGGGTGGTTGGTTGGTGGTTGGGTGGTTGGGTGGGTGGTTGGTTGGTGGTTGGGTGGTTGGGTCGTTTGGTGGTTGGGTGGTTGGGTGGGTGGTTGGTTTGGTGGTTGGGTCGTTTGGTGGGTTGGGTCGTTTGGTGGCTTGGTCATTGCGTCGTTTGGTTGTTTGGTGGTTTGGTAGTTGGGTCCGTTTGTTGTTTGGTGGTTGGGTCGTTGGGTGGTTTGGTGGTTGGATGGTGTGGCGGTTTGGTTTGCTGGTCGGGTGGTTATATAGGTGCTGGGTAGTTTCCCCGTTACCCTCCACAAGAACCAGGGGTTCAAATCCAACTCCACCAATCCAAACCACCAAAGTTCACCTGGTGTTTTCGGCCGACCCCCCCCCCTTCCCCCGCAGGGGCATGGAAAAAAGGCAAAAACAACGAAAGGAACACCGTGCAACACAAAAGGACAAATGGATACAAACCCTTTGCCTGGCTTCCTCTTGGCCTTCTCTTCCCCTTCAATCGCCCTTCAAGCGGAGTCCTCCAGCTGGCAGGGATCCGCTGTTGGCTGTGAACCCAGGATCCCCCCTTTCCAACGAGAAGCCAAGACAACGTGTAATTCTCGCTGTGTCTCCAGCTTTGGACCCCCCCCAAGAGAAAAGGGCTTCGGCGGGAGGATTTTCCCACGTGGGAAATCAAAGAATCGGGCAGGCCAATTGAGCTTCAGGAGGGTCATCAAACAGAAGTCACTGGACTGGCCTTAGGGAGACATCCGGGTGCGAACCGCGCCGCAGAGTCAGTCCCTGGTTGCCTTTGAGCGAGAGAACCCCTCCAAACAAGCTTTGAGAAGCCTGGCAAACCGCAGGCAACAGACAGGACTTCGTCCAAGCCCTTCAAGCAGCATGCTTGTGCACGTGGGGTTTGGAACAGGACATCCGTTGGGTGGCTCTAGCATGTTTGCCCGATTTGATGGAAGGTCCAAGGTCCAACATGCAGCGAGCTCATCCCTCAGCCTCACATAGTGGTGACCTCCTTTCTTCAGCCCCGAGGAATGAATCGGTCAGATGGAAGAAACGAATCACTCGCAAAAGAAAATGCGTGCTCAGGGTTAGGCTCCATAGCTTCATTTGAGGGGACGACAAATGCAGCTCTCCCATGAATCCACCTGATCAGAGGTCAACGTTCATGGCAAGCAGTTCGCTGGGTCACCCCGTGTCAAACAAGTCGACACGCAATCTCCCAAGGGCCAAATCGCACCTATAATATGGTACAGCATCTACAGTGTGGACGAATCCTGCACCACCGGAGTCATAATCAAAACTCGGTACAAAAATGGTTTACCCCGAACCATGTAAAGAATTAAGAAGGCGGCCGCAGCTATTTATGGTTGGGATAGTCCCTTACTAACCTTCATCTACCCGGGTTTTGATTGTGGCTGACCTGGGATAGGTGAATCCCTTGATTCTGTGGGATTCAGGCCACCCGCAGCACTATCTGATTTTTCTGCGCTCGGCTCTTGCGTCGTGCTTTGACTCCTGTCCTTCCGGCTTGCCATCCCAGGCCATGCCGCATAGATTGTTCGGCCAGAGGAGTTGGGAGTCCGGCGCGCTTCACCAACGTTTCACCGTGGGAATCCTCCAAAATCACGAGCGACACCCATTCAACTCGAAAGAGCCAGCATGTATCAATGATCCATGCACTGTCAAGACCCTTGAACCGTCACTTCAATCAACCGAATGATGCGTGTTGAGCAGACGTCAACTTCTCGACTGGCCATAGCTCAATTCAACAAATGACAGGCTCTTTTTTTGAACAAAACGGCATGATCTGATGACCCGATTTTTGGGCTCCACCTTTCTCATGCCCGGTGCTCGGTCTCGGGTTTCTTTCGCGGCGCGATTCGGTGCCCCCAAGTCCTCAAGCTCGAATCGAACGATTGGGGCCCCGCCACCACTGCGGGACGGTCCGTGGGCCCCCGGCCTATGCGGCTTGGAACGGCAGAAAGCCGGCCAGGCAGTTTGGCTCCGGCCCAAAGGCCGACTCCAATAGTCGAACAGACGTGGAAAACAGACTCATACCGTGAATGTGTGTACGTGTGTACGTGTGCATGAGCGTGCTGAGAGTCCTTGCCCGGGTGCAAGCTGAACTCCATCCCGGGCTGAGGAAAGCTGGCAGGAATAGGCCAGAGCTGCTCAATTGCCAAAGCCCTTGCAACTGAAACAATGCCGAAACACGTCGAGTCGCGGCAAAAACTACTCTTGAAACATCAGCCCCACAAGCCTCCCGTGCCACCCTATTCTTTAAAAGGCGGTTAAGTACTGTGGGGTCAACATCAACATTAGGCTCGATAGGGATCCTTACATTATACACCTGAACATTGCCTTGTAAATGGTGTTGTTTCTCTTTATGTTGGTGTTCAAAAAGCAACATGTTTCAAATGGGCAAAATGTATCTTTTAAGGTGCTCAATAGGATCTCTGTGGAGAGGCGGGCAGGGCGACGTGTGCAACTGTACTCAGCGCCAGCCGACGCTGGCATATGTTTCCACTGGCCGCGAGCGATGCGAAAAGGAGGAGGCTGCTTTCTATCGGTGGGTCAAAGCCGGCAACACGCGGGTGTTTCAAAGTGAGACTCCCCCAAATGAATGGCTTCTCTTCGGCTTCCCTTTCAACCTACCCTCAAAACATACACAATCGCATGGTGGGAAAAACTAGGATGGCTCCGATACCACCATCCCCCCCACCCCCAGTTTGCCGGAGGAAAAACAAAAAACTTCTGCGGTTGCCCTATGGCGCCCTTCCGTGACGTGGTTCCCTTCTCACATCAGCCAAACGAAAGATTGGTTTATCTAGGTCCCCCAGTAGTGCCCTTTTACCCTTTTTTGGGGGAGGATTCACCTACTAAAATAAGCTAGAGAAATTACATCGCTTCGAACCATCCCCACCCTCCACACCAGCAACTTGATCGGCCAAAAAATGGGTCCACCTTTTCCCCTGCCAACCTTGGAAGCGCAGACCTTTTGGATCACAAGGTGGAAGTTGCTCAGGCTGCGTTTGGCTGGGGTTTGGGCGGGCTGCCGGCGGGCAACCACTAAGCTCCGTCCTACCTTCGGCGGGATACTGGGCAGGATCCACTGGTGGAATCCTCTGGCGGGAAACTGGGCGGGATCCACTGGCGGACCACTCTGGCGGGATACTGCGACGGGCGGACTTGTCTGGCGGGATACTGGGCGGGATCCACTGGCGGACTCTTCTGGCGGGATACTGGGCGGGATCCACTGGTGGACCACTCTGGCGGGATACTCTGGCGGGATACTGGGCGGGATCCACTGGCGGACCCCTCTGGCGGGATACTGGGCGGGATCCTCTCTGGCAGGAGGGTGTGGTGTAGCAGCATCGCAAACGTGGATTCTACTTCAAATCTAACAACCCCTTCCTGCCGGGTGGGGAAAAAGGGTACCCTTATTCTAACCTCTCTACTGGAGGACCTAGTTTATGGTTTCAATGTTCACTATGACACCACTGTGCAACTAAGGAGAGTTGTACCTTGCGGAATACATGCGCGAAAAACGTATACTTCGTTCAGGGAATTGGGACGCCCCCGTGAATCTCTATCTGGCTTTCACTATAATTCATCAACCCTCGCCAAGTGTTTCCTTTGAATGAAGCCTTCTTGCTTCTTTTTCTTGTTGTGAACCATTGGGCAGGCTCGGCTGACTTGCAAAGTCTTACACAGAAAAAGGACCCTCCTGCTGAGCAAATCCCCAAATGCTGCTGAAAGCCATACACGGGCAGAATAATGCCACATAAGGCCAACCATGCCCTCCACGGCAAAAGGAGGTGGTGGAGCAATTCCAGTTGCAAAAGCAGAGCCACCCCCCATGAAACAAGGTCTATGATACCATTGATACTACGGTCTCAAAAATGAAACTTACAAAACCCCACTCCGGGCACTGAGAGAAACGCTGGATCCGGACAAAACACCAAGCACTCAAAGGGGGGTGTCACAATGGGGGGGGGGCCAAAGGGGCCAAACATAGGTGGTATGTATCCGTTGCCTGCCCTTTAAAATAAAGACAAGTCTCAACCATAGGTGTCCTGTTTGGGCAAATAGATGGCCCTGGTAGATGATTAAACCACCAGGTAAAGCAGGAATCGCCATCTATTTTTTCTGCCAAAACAAAATATAAAGGACACCTATGGTCTCAACTTGGATGCATCCGGATGGCTCCTTGAAACCTACTGGGCCCTTTGATTGAAACAAACATTTCGCCCAAAACCTCGGAAACGGAGAGAAACCAACGCGGAAGTTCCCTTGGCACTGCCCTCTACAAATAGGCTTCCAATGGATTTTAACCAACTGCTCAGAATCCGCCCATCGCAATATGCTCGTGCAAAGTTCTGAGCTACCGCCTGCGCTCGCATAGGCATATTGGCATATGTAGGTCCAGGGACGCATCCTGTCACATGAGTGGCAAGGCTCCAAAAGCAAAAGCCTTCGTCCATGAGGGCTCAAGGAGTCGAACCTGTTCTATCATGTCGGAGGGCAAACATGTCCGCCGAGATTTTCGGCCTGTCGGACACCTACCAATAGAGCCGGCGGGAGCTGCAAACATATAGAAACTATAGTTAGATTTATCGTTATTTCTGGATTATGTTTCTCTTTATCCTTCTTTCCTTCTTTCTCTTTCTTGTTTCTGTGCTTTCCATCTTTCTCTATTTATTTCATTCTTTATTTCTGTCATTCTTTCTTTCTTTGCTTTTCTTATCATTTGTTTTGTTTCCTTCCTCCCTCCTTCCTTATTTCATTATCTTATTTCTTTCTTTCTCTCTTTTGATCTCTCTAACTGTCTATCTGCCAAGACAGCTGCTGGTGCTCTCGGCTGCTGGGTGCTCCCGGCTCGCGTCTGCTTTTCTTGCTATTCATGCACCAACCAGGCCTTTTGCTTTAGGAAAGAT